ATTTATGGTTGTTGCTGTGCAGTGCTGGCGGGAAAGTGGGCTTGTCCAAAGCAAGCATTTTCCTGCCTCTCTGGGAGCTACAGTACCTGCTAAAAGTATCATCACCCTCATCGGGAACAGCGCCTGGTGTTTGAATGTATGCTCCGGGGAGAAGCAACGCCCCCCTGGAGAACAGATCAAATGCCACGTCTCCTTGCATTAGGGGAAAAGGCTTCTCAGTGCCAACTGTGTCAGACAACAGCTCACAGTTGATGTGGCAAAGATAGCCTGAAGAGCAGCCATGATCAAGAATGCTGCATCTATCATGTATTATGATCAAATTCTAGTGAAACCGAGTGAAACTTACAGGCACAGAATGGAATCAGGGAATAGGTCAGCTGATGGTCTAGAATGGCTTTGGGCATAGCTGGTCTTACATCTGGTGCCAGGCTGAGGACACCAGTTCAGTCCATCTCATCATGCTTATCCATCAAGGAGACAGTCCTTCCATTACACACACACACACACACACACACACGAGACATTCTGCCACTTTCCTTACTTCCATTTCATTATTTAAAAAGGAAAAACAAAAATAAGTGTTGTTGTCTCTATTTCCATTGACAACATTTTGGCTACAGAGAGGACCTGCAGGCAAAGGAGGGGCCAGGAGTGACTGCAGCATTCCCACTTCCTTGGGAGGGTAATGTACCCCCATGAGATGAGAGCAATTGTACAATGCAATTGTTCTCAAACTAATCTGTGCAGAGTTGGCAGGCCATGCAGTGCTGACACTTCCTCCTTGTTTCCAGCTGCTTTCTGCAGAGCTCTGGGGGCTGTTAAGAGCTTGAATGTCTGGGAAAGTAGCTGGAAAGAAGCAGGAAGAGCAGCCTTGATACCCCCCCTGGCTGCCACATAAAAGGAGGAGGGAGAACAGGAGCCACCATCAGAGACTGGTGGAAGTCTCCAATCGGTCCCTTTGGTCACTGAGAGGAGAGAAGTCAGAAATCACCTGAAGGACGGTCATCTCTGATTGGGAAGGAATGTCCAGAAGAAAAAAAAAGAGAGATGCCCAGGCAACAGGTCTTAGAAAAAATGACCCCATGGTAAGATGGAGATTCAAGGAAGAAAAAGCAAACAAAACAAAATCCTTAAATACAAGGAAGTTTCTGAATGCTGCCCTGACATGACCTTACTAGGTAAGTACTTCCTGGGGACCTTATGATGTCCAATCAGAGGTGAAGTAGAAAGGCACCTGTAACTGGGGCCAGTTTGTGGTGGTCCTGCTAAAAAAGGACCCGAGTCGATGCAGCAGGGCTCAATGGGACTCTCCATAGAGCAGGGGTGCTTAACCCCTAGCCCACAGGCCAGGTCTGGCCCTCAGCACCTTGTCATCTGAGCTGTGTATCTCCCTGTTCATGGGAAGACCCATGGCCACAGCCATGTGTGCTAGATCCAGTGTGCAGGGTAACACAGGTCCTGATCTTGGGGCACTGGGCTGGACTGAGGCAATACAGGATCCTGGGGCCTGATCCCAGTATACAGAGCCCAGCAGAGGCAGCATGGGACTCTGGGACCCCAATCTCCATGCACAAGACCGGATGGAGGTGGTACAGGGTCCTGGGGCTCCAACTGCAGCATACTGGGCTAGATGAAGGCAGCAAAGGGTCCCATGATCCTGATCCTGGCACACAGGGCGACATGGAAGGGTGTGAGGTCCTGGGGCTCGAATCCTGACTTGTGGAACTAAGTGAGGGCAGTTTAGTCCAGATCTGGGAGTACAAGCCCAACACTGAGATGTAGGGTCTGATCTAGCTCACAGACCAGCCCCATGTCACTCATTTGGCCCACAGGGTCAAAAGGTGGAGCACCACTGCCATACAGCATGGACTCTGACAGTGCAGAACTGCCCTTTCTCTCTGGTGACTGAAACCCATTGCCCAAACAAGAGCTGGTAATAGCTTTTGCACGGGGATGTAAATGCATGTCTAAGTTCCAACAGAAACCAGAAACTTTCATATTTTTTATACACACCTGCTCTGTCATCTATTACTACGGTGATTTAAGACCTCACCATAACATACACCCTGATTCCACAGTTCACGATTAAGAGATCAACCAGGAATGGAGCATCTCTAAAATCCCACCAGTGCTGTGGAGCCGTCAGGAATAAGCACTAGCCCCAGAACTCAACCCAAGCCTGAACCTTAATTAAATGTTTTCTGAGTATGGATGGGCCTGAGCCACAGAGTCGGCTCGCTGCCTGGGGCTTTCACAGAGCAAAGGGTTATTTAGATTTTGAAGACTGGATTCTTTGGTTTTGAGCTTTGCAAATATTCTGTGAAGTTGTTTCTGGATAGTGGTAATGGTGATGGATGGAGGATGCTGTTTGTTTGGTGGGTTCACAGTTACCAGTGCAGTCCAGTATTCTCTGTTCATGTGGGGGTTCTGCTTTGACAGGAACTGGGGAGTTCAGCCTCATGCAATTAAATATCTAGCCTGATATCTAATATGAAGAAGTCTGAGAAATCAAGGCAAATTTTGCATGCTTTTTAGAGCCAAATAAGCAAGTCTTAGGGATGGGACATCCCAGTCCCCTGTAGCTGGGTGACCAGCAGTACTTGGAGCCCACAGACCACAGCCTGCAAGTCTCCTGAAAGACTCTTTGCGTGTTGCCTGATTGGTAAAGGCTTCATTATCTAGTTGTGTTCATTTGCCCATAGTCCAATTCTAAAGCCTGGCCTCCCCTAGTCCATCATTCCCAATGGATACCTGTCTATTGGGCTCAGGAAGCACTCACAAAAGCAACTCTCCTAAAAGCACTAGGAGACCTGCTTGAAATAGTGGCCACAGGGTTAGGGCCCACTTTCTGAGAGGACAGAACTGGACAAAATCCTAAGTGGGCAGGAGACGCAGCAGGTTGAAGTCCCATGGGTCATACAGATGGCCAGCTTTCAGACCAGGAGGAGACATGAAAGGACAGGGTATTAGAGGCAAGCAAAAGAAGCACTTGCCATACACAGAGAGGAAGTCATGAACGTGAGAATCAAACTGCCAAAGGCAGCGAGAGACACTGCAAATGTAAATGCATTTAAAAAAAGAGCGAGGCCCTGAGAAGAAAACAAGATTACAGAGTGTGAAAGCTAGTGAGGCAGGCAGGGGGATGGAGGTGGGCTGCAGCCCCAAATGTTCCCAGCCCCAGTATTCTGAGGTGAACAATAGGCTCAGAGACAGAGAGGTGTATTTCCTGCCCAGATCAAGCAGAGTGTAGGAGGAGCATGTGTATCTGATCTATACATTAGCTCACTCCCTCACATGTGTGCGTGTGTGAGAGACAGAGAGAAAATATGCGAGCACAGGAGATGAGCGTGCATGCGCACGTGTGAACAGGAGATGAGAATGACTAAGACAATCAGCCCATCAGGCCCTTCACCTCCTACTGCTGGACATTTCATGGGATACAACTGAACAGCAACCTAATGGACAACCCCTGTTTAAATGCTTCAGAGGTAAGGGGAATTATACCAGAAGTGTTCTGTGGAAGACAATCTCCTTGGCAGCATGTCTAGGTATCCACGGGCAGCAGTCAGTGGAGAGAAGTTTCTACTCCCATTTCCAAACTAAGAAATGTTAATCTTTAATTCCACAACACAGTTCTGCCACTCCTCGCCAGGGCACAGAATGCCAGACGCAAGCCATCTTCTTTAGCAGGAGGAAGATCAAAGTCCCCTGGTGGATCTGCCTATTTTTCTAAACTGTCCCCCGGTTTCCTAGTTGTTTAAGTGTCACTCACTGATCCCTTTTGGCTTGCTGAGCTATTCATACCCCCAAGAAGAGCCCTGCGTGAAGACACTGGTAAAGGTGAGGCAAGCAGAATTTTGTCTTTTCCTGTCCTACAATCAGATTAGAGACTCTGCTCACATAAGTAAACATTCACATGAAGAACTTTTTGGCACATCATCCAAGCCACAAACTGCACACTGCTTCCTGCTCTCCATTCAGTGTAGCTGATCACTCACAGATCTCCCTGTGAGAGATGCCAAGCTACACATTACTGTATGTTCCAGACACTGCAGGACATTAAGGGTGTGACACCACTGAAGACAACAGACATTACACTGGGGATGGATTTGGCCACACATCCCCTCCTGTACAGATTGCCCTCTTCTCATTCCCTGTCCCATCTCAGCCCCACAACACACATGGGTCCCTGTGCCATTTGGGACACTGCCAGGATACAGAACAACAATCCTAGCTCCTTTGCAAACAAAAGTAAAAACCATGACACTCAAGAAACTTCATCCATGAATCCAAAACCAGCCATGTGGCACGAAGACCCTCTGTGCCATCAGCACACAGCCCCCTCATATAGTTTCAAACAAAGCAACATGCAGAAATGCATGTATCATTTACCTCTGAGGAGACTGCATGTATTACTGAGCTGCAGCCATTTCAGAGCTCAGCAGATCACGTCTACAGTCCTGGGGTGGCACCTTAAAGTCTGGTGAAGTTTTGCATAGGGGTGACTTAGACATCTCTTCCACTTACACTGGGAAAAACAGTGCCCTGGAGCATGCTCATGGTGCACTGGTTGCAAACAGGTGTGTGAGCAATGTGGGGAGGGCTGATCTTTTCCATCTTTTCAGAAGCCAAACCCTTGGCAGGCCTGCGGCACTTAACCTGCTCCGTGACAACACAAATCCAGCTCAGGGATAAGGGCAAGGTGTCACATGTTCCTCTAAATAATTAGATTTCCCTCCTTTCCAGTGTTCTCAGATGTGCATTAGATAACAGGGCTGAGCCCAGGCTGTAGACATAAAGTAGATACCTGTCCTCCCTCAGCACTTTCTATCCAGCTGTTAAGTATCAGCTTCATCTCCATCATTAGCTCCAATGGAAGATCCTGGAGCACGTGACTTCCCCACACCTGCATGCTTTGTTCAGGAAATGTGCCCCACCTCTGCTTCCTTGCCCCATGAAGTGCCAGAGATCCCCAGTGCACCACTGCAGGCCTTACTCACGTTGTACAGCACTGTGGTCCACCCTTCCATGGTAATGCACTGGAAGACGGTCAACACAGCAAAGAGGATGTTGTCAAACTGAGTGATCCCATCATTGGGACCAATCCACTCCTTACATTCGTAACCCGGGGGGCACCCCTGCACTCCACAGGGATGAGGAGGGTCCAGCTCTTCTAGTTCACCTGCAATCACAGAGATAAAGGAGGCACTGAGGTGAGGTAGACAGGCACAAGCTCCAATATCCAAAGGAAGGTTAGGGGGGATTTGCCTCCTGCTGCAGTAATGCTCTCCTGTCCAAGGGTTACTTAGGTTCTCTGGAATTTGCATGACCTGCAGCGCCCTGATGTTCCAGCCCAACCAGGGTTTATTGCTTTCTCTCACTGACCCCAGTGTTGTGTCAATGCATCTCATTCTCACCCTGAAGCCCTCCCAGTGAATGATGCCCCAGAGTGCAAATGACACACTCAATACACCTCATTCTTGACCTGCAACAAAGCCCAATTTCCTGGGTTTGGCTCCTCCTGAGCAGGAATGGCCAGTTATGTTGAAGCACATCCACCTCTCATTCAACTTCCCTTTCTGCCTGACTCTCCTTGGACTGGAAGCTTCTCAGGGCAAAGACGGCTCCTTTCCTGCCTGTCTGGAAACTATCCAGCACATGGCGGGCGCCTTCATTAACAGACAATAATTTTCTAAAAAGGTGGCAGCATTTCTTCTCTGTATTGAAATGTTACCAGCTCTGGCTATTTAGATGCAAGACTTGTGATATATGGGGTGTTCCTCAGAGGACAATGAGGATCTCATCTTTTATTTGTTAACAGAGCAGGCTGGTGGTCCTTCTGGTTCTCAAGAGTGCATCCAAAAGACCCAAAAGGAAATGCAAAGGCAGACCTCATTTTCATTAGTATTTTAAGTCTCATAACCTTAAACTGATTTTTGCAGGCTAACTCCTGATTTATGGTTGGCTCTACTGAGCCTGAGAAACAGGAACCCTCCTCTTTTAAAATGAGATCAACTTCTATTAGATGCCAGAAGATAACTACCCCGGTTTCTGACATCTACCTTTTTTGTTTTTTGATTGATTGACTGATTTATTGATAAAGAATGCTCAGACTGTCAGCTACTGGGGCTTGGAGAGCACAAATGTCTTTAAAAGTCTTTGGGCCCCTTAAGAGCTAGAAGTCTACAAAATGTAGCTCCCCAGGAAGAACAAAGGATCCAGAGGTTTTATGACCTACGAAAAATCATTTGGGGTCTATACAAGGGATGCTCAGAACTCAGTAGGTAGAAAGCATAGGACTAAGTACAAAAGAGTAATTTGAATGGCATTGCTCTTATCTGAGTTTCATTCTGTTAAATAATGCCAGCCCAGAGAAACAGAACTAGAAGTGACTTATTAGAGTTTGTATCTACTCCCCTGCCTGCTAAATCCATTCACTGTCTAAGAGGGAGGTTATCCCTGGCTGAAATTTCTAATAAATCAATCCATCTCTTCATCTCCATAAGAAAGTTGGTCAGAAAATAGGAAATGATTCCATGAAAATGTATCCCCATTTTCCCAGTGTTCCTGGCACCCTCCCCAATTGACAACATGGTCCATGAAGAGAATGACAGAGTATAACATTCAATAGAGAAGGAAAGCCAATTGATGAACCCTAAGCTCCAGATGTGTTGCACCTCTGTCTAGGATATATCAGAGATGACAAGTAGTAAGCTGTAAGACAGGTGGCCTTAGGTTTCAGCCAGTACTGCTGTGAAGTGGCATTTATCTATACAGCGTCCTTCAGAAGCAGTGGTTCAGGATTTTCTCAGTCATTGGCTTTATGAAATGACAGCTGTGTTGGTGTCTACAGTGTCAGTGTTAACACACAAACATCAACCCACTGCACTGCTTATGTCAAGTATGACAACCTGAACCAGAAAGGCTGGGGTTCCCAAAGTGGGCTCATCATATTCACTTAGCTCCATATGAAAACAAACAGACCCTTTTATCCTCAACTCGTCCTGCTGTACCTTACTTGCATGATATAAAGAACAGCACAAAAAAGGAGATAGAAGACCACTTCCCTACCTGAATTATTTGCGTAGCAAGCCCGGTGCAGCTTCCCACTGTAGAACTCCAGGCCAATGATGGCAAACATCAGAATAGCAAAAAAGAGCAGCAGGCCTATCTGGAGAAGAGGCACCATGGCCTTCATGATGGACTTCAACACGATCTGTAAACCTAAATGAGAGGAGAGAGAACACAGCTCATGGACAGTCCCCATCACCAGGCCTAACAAATTACTATAGTCCTTCTTCTTTCCTCAAGAGGGTCTCTTAGCAAGAACAGGATGAACCTTAGAGATGACAAAGGATCAACAGTCACCCAAACACATGAAGACACAGACCAAAGTACACAGTGAAGGAGTCCTTGCCAAAAAGTCTGAAATTTGAACAGAGCTTTCTCTCAGCCATCATTCTCTAACTGCAGAGATCCACCATCAGGGCAGAGAGGAAAGCTGTACCCTTAGGGAAGCAGCATGGTCCATGGAAAGTGCACCAGATGTAGGAGATCTCAGTTCTGTCTGGCTTCACTGCCAATTTGTTCATCACCATGGGCAAGTCATCTCACTGGGTTTTGTCTTTGGTTTCCCCTCACCCTTTGACTGCTTAGTCTATTCAGACTGAAAACTCCTCAGGACGGGCAGTCTCTTACTGTGTGTCATGCAAAACATTGTACCATGGGGCCCTGATCTGAGCTAGAAAAGCTACCATGATAAAATAACAGCAGCCTCTCCTCTGTGTTTTAGGACTGTGTGGAAATTGCAAGGTAAGCAGGTGGGGCCACATTTTGAAGGCTCAGAGCAGCAGATGCAAAATTGCTCTGTATCCACTTCACAAGCAATAACATATGCTTACACACCCATGAACATTTTATGCACAAAAAATAAAGGCAGTGCATATATAGCTCCCTGCTTCCATGCAAAATTACTTAGTTTGTGCATCCAAAGGCAGGCCTGTGTGCACACCCAGGAGTTAGGTGCACAACCTATGTAATACATTTCTTGTCTGATAACTTTCATGGCTTTTGCAGACACTTACTTTGGATAATGATGTGGGAAAAGCTATTGGGAGCACAAGCAGTGTTTCTAAGTTTCTAAGTAACTTGGCAGAGGAGGAGAGTTTTTAAGAATTTTCCCTATCTGAACTTCATGGTCCAAGAGAGCCACTGATAGGTGGGGCACTGACAGGTGGGCACAGTAGTACAGTGTATGCTTTCTTTATACAACTCAGCCTCAGCACTTTACTCCTGACCTAATCTTTCAATTAGGGCATTTCCAGAGCTGGGACTAAGTCACACTGCGACTGCTTGCTTGCTGCCTAATTATTTTTTAAAGAGTGGATTTACTACTGGCATGAAATGTCAGGCAGAGATAGGACACATAGGGAACATGAAGGGCAAGTTCTTTTATCTATTCTTTCTTTGCAAAGAGGCCCTCACCCGGCTATTCTGAGAGCATCACCTAGGCCAGTAAGATAGGGAGTTCAGTCTCAAACCAGAGGATGACTTCTGTAACATGGACACTGTGCACTAGAAACCAGACAGCAGCCACAGGCTCCTCTCCCACAGACCACCAAACAGTGGTCAGACAGTAAATGATTTGGGAGTCACACCCTGGAGACAGAAGGCTCCATATGCTATGACCAAGTCCTGGTGACAGTTAACCCAAAGGACATGATGTCCTCTTGGGATACCCTGCTGGTGAACAAATTTCATTCTCCCCTCTGGTCTCCCTCCAAAATGGAAAGCCTTGTGCACTCCTTCACCCACAGTCCCGGCATGACCCAGTCTACCAATTTACTGGTGCATGCAAAATGCTGTATACTGGGTGTCCGGAAGAAGAAGGGATTAAGAGTAGCAAGTAGACTGACTTCTTTACATATCCCCATCATGTAGATGAAAGTGAAAATGAAATCTCCCCAGAAAAAAACCTCAGGCCTGGAAGGATCCAACCACCCATTGTCTTCTGCATGGCAGCTGAACAAGAATCTCTGGGTTCAGTCAATTCTTTAGATTCCCAACCTTGATCCACTAGAGAGTAATTGGGCCTTCCACTGGCTGTGAAGGAGGAAAAACTACCAACGGCCTGCAAAATCTTTTCATCCAGGAGTTTGTCATGCTTCCTCCTGGGTTACCAAAGGGGCCTGTGAGAACAAGGAAAAGGGAGAGCTGAGCTCCTTCTTCCTGGAAAATGCTAAATTCTGGTCTCCTTGGCTAGGGACAGAAGTTACACATAAACAGGTTTAAGTCATCAGAAACTGGTTTAAAGCTGTAACAGAACAGAAGCTCGGTGCACATAAACCAGTTTCAAAATAGCAGAAACTGGTTTAAGGTAAAATTGGTTGAATGTAGTATCAGACTTAACTGATTTGAGTCAAACCATTTTATGAAATTTCTGTCCCAGAGCCCTTCCTGGTTCAAAGTTATATCAGAGTCCCCCAGCATCCCAGCATGCTTTCCAGCCCTGGGCTGGGCTGTGCTGTCTCTTCCAGCAGAGAAGGGTTTGGCTGGGGGGAAGTGGGGAGGCAGGACTGCCTTCCCAGGAAAACCCCAGCTTGCGTCTGGGGCCAGGGAGGGTGGTAAACACCCCTTCCCCCGAGTACAGAGCTTCACTGCTGCTAAACTTACTGCTGGCTGTGACTGTGGACTACAAATCCCAGAGGCACCTGGAAGCAGGAAGAAGTAGTGATGAGCAACCCTGCAGAGTCCTCCTGCTGTCACTGTGGACTGCAAATCCCAGAGACCTCAAGAGCAGCAGGAAGAGGAAGCGAACACACAGCCCATGCTGGCTACATGCCAGAGAGCCATGCTCTAGCACCCCCCAGCTTCTGGCCTGAGCCACTGCAGGCATGTGGCTGCATTTCCTTAATCAAAAGTAAATGTGTCCCCAGTTGTTTCTCAGTTTAATCTCTGCATCTTAGACTACCTGCAAATACTAAATCAATTCAGCTTCCGGCTTTTAGACTGTCTGTACTTAGCCCTTGAAGTCAGTGGATTTTCACCAGTGACTTCAGTGTGACTATGACTTCACTCTCTCCATCCCGAGTGATCCTATAAGGGTTTTTCCAAGCCTGAAAGGCACAAAGGATGAAAATAAATAGGCCTGGCAAGGGACCAGGAGATGAGACTTACTGGGAATGCCTGAGACGAGCTTCAGAGGTCTGAGCACACGCACTGCCCGCAGCGTCCTCAGATCCACGTGTGTGTTGAAGTGGGTTCCAGCTGTGGCAAGGATGCTGCAGCCAAATCATAAGAAAGCAGAGTCACTATTTATAGAGCCTTGGCAGTGCAAACATTACTTGAAGAAGGAGGTAGAATGGCTCGGCCATCACCGTCGAGGCACCTGACAGCCTGAATTGGCGCACCTTGCCCTCCAGTGAGTCAGCTCTGTGCGCTCAGTCTAAACATAGCAGTGTTTGCTGAGAGATAAAGATAATAATTAAAATCAACACACTGGGGCCAAGATCTGCATTCCCAGCCTGAGCTCAGTGAGATCCACCCAGCACTGCACTGAGGCATCGAGTTGAAGGCTCAGCCTTTGGCCTGGATCCTCAGGACTGGCCCTTTGACATAAGGGCAAGTCAGGAGGTGTAGGTGCTATACCAATTGGACAACTTTCTGATCACAGAGCTGCTGATCATCAGTTCAGACCCAACACACACTTTAGAGCAGCTTCAAGGCTGCACTAGGTTTTGCCCGGTGGTAACATCCATCCCTCACTTTGGCACTGGTAGACCAGCCTTTAATGGTCGCATAAGCCAGAATCAGGCGTCCTGTCAACCCCCACATCAGCACAGGGTATGCAGCACACCACAGTGCCATGCAGAGGAGCTGAGCTAATTCTGAGTAAGAAGCAGTGTACTTTAGCCCAAGCAAAGCAGTATGCTAAGGCACTCTGAATTAGCTAGATCCAGTATCTCTATATGGCACTGCACTGTGCCAAGTAGACATGCCCTCAGCATGTGGTGGAATACACCCAGCAGTAGCAAGTAAGCTTGAATCAACTAAGCTTTACAGTTTACATTGCCACTTACATCTGCATGGCTCTGACTGCAAAGGGCTCCCAGATAAGGAAGGAAGTGTTTTATACCCTGTTGTCTCCGGTGTAAGCCACTCTGGTGCCAGGCAAGGGGAAAGGCAGATTCCAACATCCATGCAAAGTAGCATGAACCATTAGCAGCTCCCTGTAATTATATCCTGAGTTTTTAAGACTGTTGATATGGTGCTCTTCAGAACTGTTACTTTTCTTATGGGATCAATTTAGTCTCCCTCCAGGGCACTATCAATCTGGAGCAGAGACAGCACTCAGAAGATCAGCGTCTTTCCCCAGGTAGTTACTGACACAACTCAGGATTAATACTCTTCAAGCTAAAGTTAACATGTGCCTTGAACCTGTCAGTGTCACAGCACAGCTGGACAATGGTGGAGTCCAGCCTTGGGGACTGAACAGTAAGCAGCAACCATGATGGGAAGAGAAACAACCAATGAGGTATACTTCTGTAAGGAGGCCACATATCCCTGTGACCTGAGGGGGGTTAAATAGAGTGCATGTGCTCAACCTGTCTCCAGAAAGGGTGCAGATAGGGCCGCCTTGCTGGAATGTAGATGCTACATGTCACAGCAGGAAACTGAGCATCAGGTAGTGATTAATCTTGTACAGAAAGGCCAGATTAGGAGTCAGGGAGTGAGGGCCTTCCCTTGTGCAGCCCACATAAGCATCATACACAATACCAGAACTGCTCAGGCCTTGCTGTTTTCAGGGTGTGAGTCACCTACTGGCAGAGGGCAGGGACAGCTGGAGGTGCATACAGGCTGCCTGCTCCACCAAGAGCAGCTCTCTCCCCACAGCTGTGCCTGTACCCCATGATCTGGCCCTGCAAATGGAAGGATTTGCTTTAATCAAGGAGCGTGTTATGGGAGCTTCCAGGCTGCAGCCTAGTGCACACTAACACAGAGCCCCATGTCCCACCACGTTCCAAGTGACGGGAACTTTACTGTGAGCATACAACCTAAAGGAGCTGAAGTGATCTTACTCTCTTCAAACAAGCCAGAATCACCAACTCACAAACATACCATAACTGTCAGAACAGGTAGTGTTCTTCTTAAAGCCCCAGCTCTTGGACTCATGTGACAAACTCCTCCATGACCATTTCAGGCTGGACATAAGGAAGAACTTCTTTACAGTCCAAGCCCCCAGGGTTTGGAATAGACTGCCGCCGGAGGTGGTTCAAGCACCTACTTTGAACACCTTCAAGAGAAATTTGGATGTTTATCTTGCTGGGATCCTATGATCCCTGCTGACTTCCTGCCCCTGGGGCAGGGGGCTGGACTTGATGACCTTCCGAGGTCACTTCCAGCCCTAGTGTCTATGAAATATGAAATCTATGATTACATCCAAACTCCAGGCTTCATTCAATAAGGATGTAAATGTTGAGCCTTTGGGTCCATAGAGAAGAGCTCAGAAACTAGAAGGCAAATGGGAATTCCCAACGAGTCATTTATAAAATGTCACTATTGTTAGGCTAATCTCATGATTTTTGGCTGGGGGCCTGACTTTCAGTTCCTGAATGCTTGGCATTGATGATATGGCAAGGCACACACTGAATTGTCCTACCACAGGCTTACAGAGGAGACTAGTAATCCCCAGCTTTCCAACCCAAGCTCATGTGCAGGACTTCTGCCTTCCAATATCTTTCCTCACCAGCACAGCAGAATGGCTGCATAGATCCAAAGCAATAAGTGATAAGCAGGACAGAGAATAAGAAGGAACCTAGACTTGAATTAGTGAAAGGATCACTGTGTGGTCACCAGGTTACTGCTGCCTAGGAAAAGGATCTAGGCCAGAGAGGGAAGTGTGCATCATGTTGCCATTTCCACCCCTACCCAACCTGTGCTTTTTACTGCCCAGTCTTGAGATCAACAGGCCAGATTCACAACAGTCTTATGATGCTTATGATGATGTCTGCTCACCCAACACAGAGTGCCAGGCCTTGTGCTTCATCATATGCCCATGAAGGGGTGGATCTGGGAGGTTCAGTGGTGCAGTCACACCTCTCTCCCCCCCTTCCACACTAGGTCACATGCTGACAGCTCCAGTTCCCTGGGGACCCAGACTCCTGAGTCACCTACAGTGTCCAAGGAGGGCTGGAGTGTGGTGCTGCTTGGGACACCCAAGGGAACCAGGTGAGGAAGGGGGCACTCATTCATTGACACTGCTATCTCAGGCTGACTGAAGACAGGGGAAGCTCCACAAGCACTCGTGGCTCACTCAAGTTTGGGGCTGCCAGAAGTGGCTGTGCAGGATGCTGGACTCCACAGCAGCAGGCAGGTTTCTACTCTTTCCTTCTCCACCATGTTTCCTCTGCTGTCCCAGGAAGCAGGTAGAGGCTGGGCCCCATCCTGCACTTGTTTCTGGCCAGCAGGCAACACCCCATATGACTGATTGGGGGCAGATGCTGGAAAGAGGGACCTGTCCACAGCAACTGCTGTCCCTGGCCTAGCCCAGCACCTTATGCTCCTGCTCATAGAAGCTCCCAGCCACAGTGGGGCAGGAGTGGCTCTGGGACCTAGGTTAGCTGGGGACAGTGTTAGCAGCAGGCAGTCCTCCTTCCTGCACCCAGAGGTAAACCGCTGGAGAGAGGAAGGGGAAGGGGAAGGGGAAGGGGAAGAGAGGAGGGGAACAGTTGGGTTGCCCAAAGGGGTGGGGAAGGTCTTACCTGTTTTGGGAATTCAAAATAGTCCTGGTAGATGCTGCCACAGCATGGTCTAGTCACTGGGAGGTTTTAGGGAAGTGGTGAGACCCCCCTGAATTCCTAAATCTGCCCATGTTGCCATACGTACAGCCTTCCAGTCACTCTTTTGGCTGCCTGTCTAGGATGTTACCCCACACCCACTGCTGTGCTGGAGAAGCACGTGCTATCTTGTGTGCCCTACTGTGCATCACATGATGACCTGAAAAAAACAAGCCTCAGGATTATGCCCTCAGCTGATGTGAACTGCCAGAGCTCCCTGGAAGTTGGTTCAACCAGGCAGATCTTCACCAGCTCATGGTCTGGCCTCGGTGGTCTCTGAGCTACAGAGAGAGTTCACAAGGGGCATTACTAACTCTGCATCCAGCCTATTCTGGAAAAAGCAGGGAGGGGAAGGGAAGCAGTATGTGAGTGTGGGGGGGAGGTGGGGCACAGAGGAAGTTGAAGGGGGAGAAAGAGAAGACAGGGAGAAGAGTGGGACAGAGGGAGGGAGCAACCTCAGGGCTGTTTGCAGCAATCCAAAAACCTAGGGAAATTGGGTCATTGTTCCACTAATTCATCTAATTACAGGCCAGAACAGCTCTCTGCTATGTCTCCTGTGTGCTGAGCAATTAGCGCTCCTTCTACTCTTGCTCCCTGATGTACAGTGGGTACAAACCTGCCCCCCTCAGAAAGAGGAGTTCTGTTTCCTAGGATACACCGACAGGAGGAACTATTTAACATCAAATCAGGTTGTTACAACTGAGTTCTTTTCCCCCTTCTGCTTATGATGATGGATTTGAAAATGGTAAATTGGGAAGCACTGAGAAATAAACACCTGTTGTCTAGCTAACCTGGAAGCTGCTTTGGGCCGCGATTCTTGCCTGACAGTATCGTGCCACTGCATTTAATAATAAAAACATCTGTTAAGGTAATGCCTAAGGCCCTACCGCAAAGCAAGCCCTGTTGCTCTGGGTGCTGGACAAACACAAGTGCGGCCGACTGACCCTGCCCCTAGGAACAAGACAAGTACAGGGTGGTATTCAGGGTGTGAATAATGGGGACAGGGGAGAACACCGTGCTTGTTCCACATTAGCTTTGGGGAGGAGGGGTACGTGGAAGGGGGCAAAATAAAAAGGGAAAGAAATTGAAGTGAGAGGGCTATCAAAGGGAAGGGGAGAAGGAGACAAGGCAGGGGAGAAGAGGGTTAATAGGTGTGGAGAAGGGCTTAAGTGAAAGGTTGGAGCCAACAGTCCCTCAGGACAAGGTTGTCAAAGTCCAGTTCCCCCTGTAGAAAGCCCCATGAGCTGCTTCTGCACTTGTTCCTACTGGTTGGAGTCTCTGGCTGGTTCCTTTTTGTAATTTTCTCTCATGACCACATGGACCCTGGGGTTTTAGTGCCCCCCAACATGGCAGAGCATTTCCTCTGAACCATTCTGGAGATGTCCAGGAAGGTGTCCCAGCTTGGCCCCTATAATGCCTTTTCTCCTCTCCCAACCCCAAAAGCA